AATGCATTTAATTCACTTAATCTACCATAACTTAGTAAGGTTTGCTGTATGCTATTGTGTATTGATGGTTTGTCCTTATGATCACATGGCTTACTTTGACTCACTGTAGCTTGCCAGTATCACATACTACATTACCTATGGTTAATCTGGAAAAGGTCAGGCTCAAAATTCGAAGTCCAGATCCTACTGAATAAATATTGCTTCTGTACGTCATAAAGTTAAAAGACTTTAAGTCAAGCATCCTTAGGTCAAAGACCTGTAATATGCCATAAAATTAGTTTGTGATACATATTAGAAGTAAATACTGGATGAAAAAATATTATATGTAATCTCTTTACATATTTATAATATATAATATTACCATAGGATAGACAAAGATGCAAAAAACACACAGTAGGAGAAATCCAGCCTTTTCAATATGTGATGCTGGGAAAACTGGACATCCACATACTTAAGGATGAAATGAGAACCCTCATCTTGCACTATATACAAAAAAGTAACTCAAGTGAATTAAAACCTGAAATTGTAAAACTTCTAGAAGAAAATAGAGGAAAAGTTGTATGACATTGGTCTAGAGAAAGATTTTATATATACATATATATTCAATTTGTATTACATATACAGAGAGAAGAAAGAACCAACAGAATAGGAGAATGTATTTATAAATCATACATTACACAAAAAGTTAATATCATACATATATAATTAACTCAAATTCCATTCTGAGAAAACAAAACAATTGCTAGTAAACATGGGCAAAACACCTGGATAGGGATTTCTTAAAACAAGATATACAGATGATCAACAGGTATATGACAAAAGATATCACTTACGATATGGGAAATGCAAATCAAAACCACAATGATCCTCACAATAGAATAATTACTATATAAAAAAGGTAATAGTGGTAGGAGAACATGGAGAAAGGAGAATTCTTTTTTGCTGTTTGTGGGAATGTCAGTTGATAAAGCCATAGTGGAAAATTATATGGAGGTTTTTCAAAATTTCAAAATAGAACTAACATATGATTCAGCATTCCCACTATTGGGTATGTATCCAAACAATCTGAAACCATTATGTTCAAGAAATGTGCTACATTCACATGTCATTACAACACTATTCACATAGCCAAATTGGTAATCAGTCTATGTGTACAAAAGAAAAGAATGGATAAAAGAGACATAGCTTACATATCTATGTATATATATATATATATATATCAATAATGGAATTGTTTTTCCATTTCAATCATGATTTCTAAGTTATATTATAAATGTATTTATTTTCTATTATCTTTAAGTAGTTGTACAAAGGAATGAGCCACTGATGGAAGGTAAGTCTTATAATGTGAGACTTCCTTATAAAGGTGAGACATCCCTAAGAGAAGAAGATGCAAAATAAAAATAGTAAAACCATGCTTTTGTAACCAATATTACATGTCATCAATAAGAGGCCTATCATCGAAATATCTAAGAAATATCTCTCAAAGAAGAATATGCAAGATAATTTTAATTTTTTATTGTGAAAATACTGTACAGAGGGGTTACAGTTACCTGCACAAGGTAATGAGTACATTTCTTAACAAGCATTGTTGCCTCCTCCTTTGTTTTTCCCCTATCATCCCTTCCCTCCCACCTCCACAACTATACTGCAAGATAATTTTTAAAGCCCTATATTCCCCTTTTAATTCATCCTTCTTACTTTCCTACCAAGGATAAATGCTGCTTTGAAGTTCATGTTTAAAACTTCCTGGGTTATTGTTAAACTTTAATTAGTTGTCTAAGTATCAATAAAGAACAATATTTTGGTATTGTGTGCTTTTTCTAACTAAATGTATATAGTACTGACTTTGTTTAATACTGACTTTGTTGGTGCACACTGTATGTATTTACGTATTTATTTATAAATTGGATTTGTCTTTCACATATGGAAGAAAACATGCGTCCTTTGTCTCCCTGGGTCTGACTTCCAGAAGTTTACTATAGGCATCCCACTGTTCCCCTGACAATGTGCTTTTAAATGTAACCCAGGGTTTCCATGAATTTTCCTGTACAAAGTCTCTTGGTACAACTAACCAGGTTATTTTATTCTAGTAGTTATGGGACAGAGTCAAGAATAGACACAGATAAGAAATGAATACCTCTATATGAGTAGGAATTCATAGCAAGGGGGAATAATGAGAACTGAGATCATATGCCCTGTAGATTTTGTAGAAATCTTGAGGAAGGAAAGGCAGTGAGGATTCCAGATATTTTTCTGTAATTAAAATGCACATAATTACCTGCTTGCAATATTTTGTTCACGTTTAGGTTGCATTCAGTATTTTAATATTATTAAATGAGAAGCAACATTGTGTGTAATTTTGCTTCTAAGATGTTTGTTTTACTTCTAAGATGCCATTTGAGCCTCTAGTCTAGCTTTGTTTTTGCTGGTTATTTTGGAGATGATGTCTTAAAGATTTTTCTGCGCATACCGGTTTTGGACCAAGATTCTTCAGGTCTTAGTTGTTTTAGTAGCTTGGATGGTAGGTTTGAGTCAGTAGTATCTACTTCTTCAATTTTCTTTGAATTGCTTGAAAATAAATTATAACATACAATCTGTTTTCTATAGTCAGCTGTTATGTCATAGAGTAGTTTATGGAAGTGTCTTATTGGGAAAAGCGGAAACTTCTCAAAAATGCTGCAGACTTACCAGTCTTACTGAGCTGTTTTGGAAATGGATACCTTAGCCCCTTGAAAGACAGGTAGTTCGGGCTGTATATCCTGGAACTCACTATTGTAGGCTAGTCTGGATTACAGCTGTGTACAACCATGACTGGTTCCTGAGTCAACATTTTGAGCTCATGAAAGACCTCAAAGCAAAACTATCACAAACTGTTTCCAAATACCTGATCCAAGAAACTGAAATGTTAAGTGCTTATTATTATTTTAAGTGACTAAGTTTCAAACAAATGTTATTTATGAATAGATGATTTATACAAAGCTCCTTAACTTAAGGTAAAACACATACAAACATAAGGCATGAAAATAAAATGGTTATTCAGATTTTTTTAAAAACCATCATCATTCTTTATAAAAACAATAAAATGTCTACCAAATCCATGAGTTGTTCTGACTAATTTAATTTAGGATAAATTAGAGCTAGCATTTCTTTTTTACACAGATGTTTTACAATTCTATTGCTATAATCTTAGTCCCTTCTTTTTTCCTTCCATCCTTCCTTTTCTTCTTTCCTTCATTTTTTCTTTTCTTCCATGATGAGTTCATTTTGATGTTTTCTGGTGTTATTTCTTAACTAGTTTTTGTATCAGTGAATTTTATTTTAAGATATTATTATTAATGCATATCACCATATTTTTGGAATTGACCGAAATTCTCCCTCCTAGACTTAAAAACACTAGTCCTTTTTCTGCACTTAAGAACTTTGGAATAAATCTACAGTGATGACGTCTGTATTTCTCTCCTTTTGTGGGATAGCTCTTACAGGGAGAGCCTTTCAAATATGTTGGGAAAACTATTATGTTGCTGTACGCCTTCTCTGGACAGAACACTGCAGTTCCTTTTATCATTTGACTCTGACATGGTTTTTAAATCATATACCATCCTGATTGCTTTCCCCTGGATGCTTTCTACTTTGTCACCCTTTGTTGTTAAAAATAAATTACTCCCAATTTCCTGCTTTCAATAGAGCAGAGTGAACATAATTGACTCTTTGATGTGTGAGGGTCTGCTTTGCTCTGAAAGCAATTACTCCGACCTTGGATTCTACTGTACTGTAAATATCATTATAGCAAAATAGCAGCTTACACTAAATCTTTATCAACTCTTGAATATATCTTGGAAGATTTTTTTGAAAATATGAGCTTATATTATTTATTTCTTGACAGTGAAGTATACTTTATAAGGTAACAGCTACCAAAAATGGCTAATTTCATCATGCATATAATTTGTCTTTCTTCTCAAGTAGACTGTGAACTCTCTGAGAACAAGAATTATGTATTATCAGGTTTTTAAGATGACTAGTTCTTAGCATCATATATACACATGCACACATGTATATATACACACACTCACATGTATTATATACACATAAACATATATGAATATATGTGTAACATATATATTTATTTAAAATGTCCAATAAACATCACCAGTTAGTGTTTCATGCATAAGAAATTAAGATATTATTTAATTAAATGAATTTCCAATTGTTAGAATATATTGAAGAATCAGTAACATGAGATTGGATCAAATTGTATTCTAACCTGAAAAAGAATATTAGTAAGCTCATTAATAGTATTCACAAAGAAAAATACTAGTATTTTGGGTGATAATACTTTAATAGTAAATGAAAGAAAACCCAAATAGAAACAATTTAAAGTGTAAGAATATTAGTGTACAGTTAAGAAGCCTGAAAAGATGGTCCTGGATCTATTTAAGCAGTTCAATGATATAATCAAAGTAACAGACTCTTTATCTTTGGCTTTTGTCATCTTTTCTATTTTAGGCTTAATGCCTTATTGTTACAAACTGACTGCCTTAGCTCTAGATACTAAAACTGCATCCAGTCTGAGGATAGCTTCAGCTCTGAAAATGCCTCCTTACAAGTTTTATCTGTGGGGCAAAATATTTTTGTAAGCTTCCCAGCAAATGGTCAAAATTGAATCATATAACTCTCTAGGAGCCAGGCAAAGGAGCAGAATCTTGGAAATGGCTAGTCATTAACATACAATATAAAGTAGACATGTATATCAAAGGAGGTCAAGGCTTTTACTAGTTTAGTATTAAATTCAGAGAAACTGAAATGGAAGAACTCTTCTAAAATATCGCTGGTGTGACTGGGATTACACAGTGAATCACTTATTCAAACAGATAAATTAGTAGCTCTCAATCTCTTTGAGAAGAATAGATGAACCTGATTATCTTTCCTAGTATTTTTTAAATAAAATCAAACAAGGCTGTGTATTTCTTGCAAAGCTTTTTATTTTTTCTCCTTTTCAGGAGTCCTATCCAAAGAAGAGGAATTACACTATGGAAATTGTACCATCTGGTTCTCTGGACACATTTCCTCCAGAAAATGAGAACTTTCTATGTGATCTCATGGACACAGCTGTTACAAAGAAACCTTGCTCCTTAGAAATCGCAAGGGCACCTTCCCCAAGAACTGGTAATTTCTTATTCACAATTGGGCTAATTCAATATGCATGCTTTTGTAAATGAAGATGCATCACAAGTATTTTGATTTCCACTGATTGTCAACATGAAAGTGCCCCCAAAGTAGTCCAACTAATAATTTTTGCATTTTTAAATGAGTACAGGTAAAATCATGGATTTTGGTGAGAAATCTCTCAAATGATAAATGTCCTTCATAAAGACAGTTCTGCCCGGATGAAGACACTTTGAAGCTGTTAATCATGAAACTCTTTCTAGGTCAGATACAAAGATTTGAGCCCTTAGGACTTCATAGTTGATTTCATAGCAAGAGTCTTTCTCTACACTTTTTGGCATCCTGGTTACTTCCAAGTTATCAAGTATACTTAACTAGTTAGTTATATTACATAATTTTTGTCTTTTGTGGCATTTCCAAATCCATCATTTTCTTTATTCACATTACAAACTGGCACACAAAGTGAAGCAAAGGAAATTGAAGATCAATAAATGGTGAAGCTTGTGACTGAATGTGGATTTTGACGAGTATCTTATTGTCTTTTGTCCACTTCCCAGAAGAAATACAGAATGATTATGTAAAAGAACAAAGGAGGATAGTTACAAATGAATGATCAATGTACTCATTGCTACAAGGAGTTTTAAGAAAAGTTTTTGAAGAGAGGCTGTTTTAGTTTTGAACAGTAAGCTTTGGAAGTGAAGTTATAAAAACCAGTTTTCTGGAAGCAAGCAATGCTTGTTTAAGGAAATGGGAGTGGAAAACACAAGTTGCTTTTTCAAGATTAGGACAGACAGGATGGTAGCATAGGAGGAAAGTAGGTATGAAAAAGACATACTAATTTATTTTAGGATAAGTAAGACTTGTTGAGGTTTAGAGACCGGAAGAATTTTCTGTTAGAGCAAGGTGTTGAAGATCAATGAAAAAACAGAATGGGTATAAGTTAAGACAGGTAATGTAAGAATTGGTAGGCATTGCTACTACAGAGAGAAGAGCTTATAGAGATATTTTGAAATATTCATTTCTAAATGTATTCAATTTCTGAAGATAAAGTGCATTAGTTTAAACTGGATGCAGCTGGCTCATGCCTATGAGCCTAGCTACTCAGGAGGCTAAGATCTGAGAATCATGGTTTAGACAAATCTGAGATTGTTATTTCCAACTAACCATCAAAAAGCCAGAAGTATACCACATGCTGGTGGCTCACACTTCTAATCCTAGCAACTCAGGAAGCTGAGATATGAAGATCAAAGTTCTAACCCAGCCTGGTCAGGAAGACTGTGAGACTGTTATCTCTAATAAAAACTATCAAAAAGCCAGAAGTGGAGCTGTGGCTCAAGTGTACTAAAGCTCAGAGACAGAGACAGTGCCCAGGCCCTGAGTTCAAGCCCTAGAACACTCACAAGAAAAAGTCAGAAGTAGAGGCATGTCTCTAGTGGTAGAGTACTAGCCATGGGCAGAAAAGCCAAGTGAAAGCTTGAGGCCCAGAGTGCTAGCAAAAACTAAAAGGAAACAAAATGCTCTGGTAGAAATGAAGAGCTAGATCTAGAGAAGAACTGAAGTAAAACTCAAAACACAAAACCAAAAACATTGTAGACAATAGGCTTTGGAATTTCATAGAGATGAACAAATAAATTTTTCATCGGTATTAAAGCTTGAGTTATGTATGAATCATAAGCTTTCAGAGTTAAAACACAGTATTGAAAATAGCTAAAATGTATTGAGCATTTGCTATGTGACAGGTGGCATTGTAAGGCATTATTATTCCCACTTTATGGAAGCTGAGGTACTGAAGCATTCAGTAGCTTTCCAGTGTCACACATTAATAAGGAATGAATCTGAGATTTGAGCTGTGCAATGTATGTTTTTAAGACCTATATGGCAGTGAATGTTGCACTATGTGAGAGGATGAAGTGAAGTGGTTCTTGTGTTTGTGAACAAACTACTCTCAACAAACATGTAGGTAGGGCTGGAGTTCCACATATGACAGTAACAAAGTCAGAAGATATAAGTTGTAAGAAGATAGTATAAGCATCAACTGACCAGCTGTTGGTAACTGTAATCTGAGGCAGTATAATGGGAGCTTAAAAATAGAGAAAAACAGACGTGTGGCAGGGAGAGGGAGAGAGATAGCAGGCACCAAGGAACTCAAGACTTACCAGCTCTTGGACCCCAAGTTCCTGTAAGCCCAGTGTATTTATCAGGTTTAGAACAGGGAAGGTTACCGCTGGTACATACAGAAAAAAAAATCTATTCCATTATTTCACTCACAGAGATAGTTTGTGAGAATAACCGGCTCCCTTATTGTTTTGACAGTGAAGACTGCAACTAGACAAAATCCAAATATGTATTCCACTTTTATCCACCTTGCAAGCTCTAGATCTCAGCACTTCCAGCAGGAAGGGAAGGGAGCAGCATTCCAGCCTCTAACTCTCTAGACAGCTGTCTGTTTTAACCCTTACATGGCCAGTTCTCAGCATTCCAAGTACTGTGGAGGCAGAGTTCCTATCTCTCAAACCTTTTCCAGGTCTCACAGCTTAGCTTCAGAGTTCCCTACACCAGCAGATTATGGATTAAGGCAGCATAATAGTGAGTAATTGAGATGCCATTTTAAAGAATAGTACCAATCCCAAGCTATAGAAAACCAAAATATGGGTTTTGGAAAAACAAGAACGTTTCTATAAGAGAGGTAATGAGGGATACGGTGGACTCAGAGGAACAACTCTGGGAAGGTAAATGGAGGGAAGGTATGTACAAAAATGTGGAAGTTTTAGTTAGGGGACAGAAATAGAAGATATGTCAAGATGATAAAGAAAGAGATGGAAGAGTGGAAGAGCAGTTACTGTTTATTCACCAACTACCCAACGCTAATAAAACTCACGCATGGATCAGCATCATTCTGAATGCTGAGGACAACAGCGGTGAATATGATATGGACCCCAGTTACAAGGCTGATTGGGCCCTCTTGCTAAAAACAAGTAATGCTGAACGAAAATATTTTTAAGCTTCTTAAAAGAATAAAAAATGAGAAAATTATATAAAAATTATATAAATTGAAGCACATCTAAATTTGGAATTTCTTTTTTTTAAATCAGTATGTTCTAAACAAATAATCAGGCCCAAACATTGATGACTGTGGGAACCCCAGTGCAATCAGTAAAAGCTGGTTTTGTCCTGAGGAATTTGCTGAACCTTCTTTAGTGCTTCAAGCCTTGGTGAATTTAAATATAGGAAAGAAATTTCTCTGCCTGCCCAGTATGGGGACTCTATTGTGAACTCTTTTCCCCAAAGGTTACACCCCCCAGATTAATCAGAAGAGTAATGTTAGCACTTCAAAGAAAGATGGTTTGTTGTTAAAATTACAAGTGAGAAGACTCCTGAGGAGTTAATACTACAAAATTGGCCTTGTATAAATATGTCCCCACAGCTCATGTGCCCAAAGGGTCCCCAAAATGTCAATCTATGAATTTAGTTAAGTGAGACCCTTAGGTACTAAGTGAAAACATGTATATAACCCCTTTGGAGAGGAATATACTCTTCTTTCTAGGCTCCAAATGATTCATAGTTTTCCTAATAAAGTTAGTAGTTTATAATATGTAAGCCAACAGGGGAAAGAACCCTAGATAGAAATCAATAGAAAGAAAGAAGACTAGGTCCATAACCTGAAAAGACTTCATGTATTTTAGTTACCAGATTCAGGCTACAAAATGATTTTACATAAAGAAAAGATAAACTAAAATGTATTAGGGGAAATAGAAGCTAAATATTACCTAATATTTTTGTGAGAAAAAAGCAAACTTCTAGAAGTGGAAAAGCAACAATACATACAACATAGAAAATTTAAAACTTAGTAGATGGACCTATTCTCACACTGAGCTGGAGAAACAGTGGCTTGGACAATTAGATCAGAAAGAAGTTTCTAGTGTTGCACAAAAAGGTATAAAAATAAAAAAAAGATATAACAAAAGAAAATATAAAAAAGAAACTAAGGCACTTGAAATATACATACTAAGAAGTGTTCACACATTTAAGCAAAGTTGCAGATGGTGAAAAGAGAGAAACATGAGAAACAGTAAGGATGATCAAGCCTGAAGAGGAACTGTTATAAGTTGGATTGTTTTCCCTTTCTCTCACCAAAAAGAAAAGTTATCCTAACACCTAAGGTCTCAAAGTTTGACTCTGCTGTAGAAATAATGAAGGCTTAAACTATAGTAATTAAGTAGGCTCTAATCCAACAAGGCTGAAGTTCCTATAAAAAGCAGAAATATTAGCCAGGTGTCAGTGGCTCACACGTGTAATCCTAGCTACTCAGGAGGCTGAGACCTGAGGATCATGGTTCAAAGCCAGCCCAGTCAGGAAAGTCTGTGAGACTCTTATCTTCAATTAACCACCAGAAAACCAGAAGTGGTGCCATGGCTCAAGTGGTAGAATGCTAGCCTTGAGCTGAAGAGTTCAGGGACAGCACCCGGGCCCAGAGTTTGTCCCACAACTGACAAAGCAAAACAAAAAACAAAAATTTAGAGACAAGAGTTTGCCTCCAGAGGGAAGAAGCACAAGAATTTAGCCATCTATAAAACAGAGAGGCCTGAAAGAGTACCCTCTTCCTCCCTTACAGCCCTGAGCAGGAATCAACCTTACTAATACCTAGTCTGAAATCTAGGTAGATCTAGATAACAGAACTAAATAAATCAACTTTTGTTGTTTAAGCTATGCAACTATCAGTGCTTTGTTACAATGGTCTTATGAAACTAATATAGGGCCGAACAATGGAACATGTAAATTCAACACACAGAGCGAGAGTGAGAGCAAGAGCCAGAGCGAGAGTGAGAGAGAGAAAGAGAGAGGAGGGAGAGAGAAATGATGTTTAGGCCTTGAGTAATTCCACTTGTGGATATACTATCCATCTTCTCAAAATATCTGTTAAGTGTGCATGTAGTTGCTTCTTGTATTTATTAACAGATGAACTACTACAAAATCCTTACAACAAGATTTAAATTACTAGT